TATAACATACATAAAATTCCTTTATTGTTTGAAATATGAAATAAAATCTTGAAAAGTCATAGAATATGAAGCTATAATGTAGGCAAACTATGATTTAAATGMATAAGTATTGGTTTGCACCTAACAGAAAAAAAATACATGAGGGATAATTGTGAACACATGAGCTAAGCCTCAACTCATACCATAGTTGAAACTTAATTATACAAAAGTGCTTCATTTAATGAAGCTTATTATAATTAGTTTTGGCATGCATATAGATAATATAGTGGTATCTACTTTTAAATTACTTAAATGAATTAAGTAATGACCTGCATATCACTTTACAGTAAAATTTAAGGCAGAAAGGTTATTTGTTTTTCCAGGGCATGATAAAGAGGAAAAAGAAAGCTGTGCATGCAAGTGTAATAGAGAAAATAATCCAGTCAGGAGAGAAAACATGGTTTAGAGGTATCAGAACTAAACACAAAAATTCACTTGTACAAAAAATAAATATTTTCACATGGAATTCAGTTTACTGTTGAGAGCCATCCATAGGCAGTGTATGGACTGTGTTGTACATCTTAGCCTAATGAATAGCATAATCTGGTGTCTGGGATCTTGCAGTGGACATTTCCTCTAGTTTATTGCCCAGAGACATTGTGAATTTCTATTGCACTCTGCCATGTCTCACACCGCACTGGAGATGGCAGTGACTTGCCAAGATGCCAACCAACCTGCTGACTGCAAGRCTTCAGGAAGCAAGAATCCACCCTTGAAACCTTACCCCTGCCTTTGATGTAACCACTTAAATAAACCATGGGAGTCATTTACTAATTGTTCAGCTCCAACTTGTATGTGGGCTGGACCTATCAGGATCTCCCCTTTTAAAACTCTCTCTCCTGACTTTGTCTTTTGTTCTTYACTAATTATTCTAGACTTTAATTTCTATGGTGGCTTACACCCTCCTTGGTAGGAAGAAGAAACCCCTATACGAGGCACTGGCCACCTCCCCATAGTTTATATTTTATTTATTTATTTTTTGTATTGTTTTGGTGTGGTTTCTTAAAAGTAAAATATAAGTACATATGACTTTTGTTTGGTAGGTAGAAAAATTTAAGGTAGATCCAAAACTGAAAATAAATACAAAGGAAGCAAGTCARCTCATAAATAAAACATCACTGTCATCATGGCAGAAATTGTAATAGTCTTAGGAATAAATAATTATTAAAATTATTAGAATTTCTAGTTCAGAAATGATTTTTAAAACCTTGATCAAAATATATTTCTATAGCAAATTCACATGAATTTCTATTTGTACAATCCTCCTGACTCAACAGAAACAGGCTTTGAAACTATACCTGATTTCTCATGAATTTTTAGATTTTACACTTTGAAATAGAACTCTTGCTTATAACTGAAACATAATGTTTTAGTTATATTTACATTACATAGAAATTCAGATGCTACTAAAATAGCYTATAAAGGAGAAACACTTAATTTAGCTTTCAGAAAGAAGTCCATAAAATACATTGCTACCACATGTACTACTTATATGTTCAGAAAGAAAAAAATTACATAGACCTTAGGTGTTTTTGTTGTTTGTTTTTTGTGGTGCTGGGGATTGAACCCAGGGCCTTATGCATGTGAGGCAAGCTCTCTACCAACTGAGCTATATCCCCAGCCCCATACCTTAGTATTTTAAAAATGCATTTTTGCTTTCTGAATGAAATGGAAACAACATGATATGTAATCTAAAGAGAATATAAATTTACCTGTGGATAAAAATTACCTCATCAGGCGTCAGTATCATTTTTTTTTGCAGTATCTTCTATTGGGGGTGGGCTTCTTAATAAATATTTGATGATTGTATGAACTGATATTTYCAATATGCTATAGTTTTGGTAGCTAGTAGGGATTGCTGACTTAGGCATAAATTTGTATCTTCAAAAGAAGTTGTAGTCATGAACACTTCATGCTTTGGGCCTGATGTTCAGAAAATATGATGGCATACTTACCAAAAGCTGTTCTAAAGTTGCAAGTGGCAACACAACTGGTGGATTTTTTTTTAATTTAAATAWTTTTTTTTCTCACTAAATGTTTTCCAATTTTTCAGAAAATGYTTTTTAAACACTTTAGGGCAGAAACGTGGTCCTGTGTGAAATATTTTATTTACATTGTACATTTTACACTGCACTCACATAAATTATGCTTCAAGAGAAAAATGTTAATGCATTATTTATCTGTTAACATTATTAGTAGTGTCATTCACTAGAAATAAATCCTTTAATTTAATATTATAGCAATTCTATAATTTTTTATTTAAAATATACTCTGTAAATTTAGTTTAAACATTTCTTTATTCTGGCACTCTCTCTCTGGCAATGGCCCAGATTCTCACTTGAATGCATATTTTGTACTTTACCCCCCAAATGTCTCTTCCCTGAGAAAGTCCATAATCTCCTTTCCTGAATAACCTTTTCTGAATAAATCTCTGTGTCTATGAGAAACAACAACAACAAAAAGTTCTTCATCCCAAACCATACAGACATTTTTCTATATTTCTTCAGTGATATAAAAATTTGTAACTCTACTTTCAAATCTATAAATACATTTTGAGTCTGTTTCTATTCTATAAGGTCTAAGGTTGAAATCCACTTTCATTTATGGTCTCATACTGAGCTCTTTCCTTGATACCATTTACTAAATAACCCAGTTAATTCACATCAAATTATGGCCAAATGTATCATTTACAGAAGTAAAATGTTATGTGTTYTCAGAGCACTCTTTGGCCCATCTGTTTTTCTTACAAAGTCTTCATATGTAGACTATCATGCTAGATGGCACATGAAGTCCCACCTGATTACTCTTCTTTTTCAAATATTACATTGATTTAAAAGACATTATTTTTTTCTCTAGATTTTAGAATGTGTTTATTAACTCATACAACAACCTTCAATTAAATTTTGGTAATATACTGTGTGAATTAATTGGGTAATAATTGTTTTATTCAATTTAACTGAACATAATAATAGAGTTTTATGACAGAAAACAAACATATTTTGTTATTTCTAAGATTTCTATGTGTTTTGTTGGTATASTAGTTGATGTCACATTGTGTAATAAATTTTGATATTTTAACTRATGGAGAGAAATTGCTATTTTTTAAAAAAGTGTTTATATCTGCTGAATCTGCCAGACTACATCCTTTGTACTAATTTTGATGGAAAAAGAATTCTTTCCCTTATCAATATTCTTTTAATATTCATTGAGGCATGTACCACTAATCCAATCTTTTCTATTGCTGAAWAATATCCCATTGCTGAATAATATCCATTGTATAGATACAACACATTTWATTTATCTATATTATAATTTGATGAACTTTGAGACAATTAAAAATACTGTTCGAACATTCACAATAGGCTTGACCATTTATTTTTGCTTTTCTTGAGTATATAAAAAGTGGAGTAGTTAGATCATTTGGCAAGTCTGATTAAACATTTGAGGAACTGACAGAGTATTTCMAAAGCATGGACTCATGTTATTACCTCACCAGAAGTCTGAGTTCTATTTCTCCATAGCCTTGAAAACATCAACACTTTTTTGCCTATTTTTTTAAAATTATAACCATATTGTTTGTTGTAAAATGGCAAGTATATCTACTTGCATTTTCATTCTTTCATAATTAAGTATAATAATAATTTAGCTTTATTTCTTTCCCATTTTAAATATTCTTTATCAGATTGTAAAAGTTCCACTGAATGTGTTTAACATGAAATGGTGTAAAATCTTGCCAAATGTTTTGTTTTTTGCATCTCTTAAACGTATCGTGAAATTCACTTGTCTTTTCTTCCTTAATTACATGATAAGGCATAATACATTAATAGATTTTAGGTTGTTCAAGCAACTTTKCATTATTGTGATAAATTCCACTTGTCATAGTATATAAATCTTTTTATATGTAATGCTATCATTGTGCTGAGTGTTCTTTGCTTTAGATTGATAAAATGTTAGTTGGTAGATTCTTGTCAGTTTCATTGAAACATTGTACTATTGGCATCACAGATGGTTACATTGTTTCCTCCCTCCTTCTATTTTAGAAAATTTATAAATAACTTCTATYAATTCTGCTTTAAATATTTGCTAGAATATCCCAACAAAGTCATACAGTTCTGGTTATTTATTAATCTTGCTTATTTAGTTAGTGATTCAAATGTTTTATTGCTATAAATCTAATCAATTTTTAATTTATTTTTGTATCATTCTCAGTAATTTGTATTTTCTGAAAATTTCCCCATTTCATAGTATTTTAACATGTTTTGACATATAATTTAATAATAGTMTCTCATTCATGATTTCAGCAATTTGAGTATTCTGATTTTTTTCTTCATGTAGGTAAATTTTTATTCACTTTGTTATTACTATAAAAGGATAAATTTTGATCTCATTGATATTCTTCATTGTTTTTYTGGGCTCTTTTTTAAAATTTATTTTACTCTTTTTAATTTATTTCATTCTGCTTGTATTACTTTGATTTTCTTTTTCCTTTATTATTTTATTATGTAAATTTAGGATATTGATTTAAGCCATCATTTTAGAACAATATTTTTTATTTCTTTAATGGTACTTTTATATATTTTATGAGTTACATTCTTAATAGTTATTCCAGAACTTGACATACAAATCTTAGCTTATCAAAATATACCACAAATTTATATTAACTTAATTTTAGTGTGATATAGATAAGTTTCACCTATATAGATCTATTCAATCTTCATTTCCTTTGTGTGTGTGTGTGTGTGTGTGTGTTTGTATATGCTACCATTACTATACACAATGAATCTGTAATGTAACAGAATATATCAGTTATATATGAATATGTAAATATTTGATATTCATATTCAAAATTGTAAACAAAACAATGATGACTACAAAGTATTATGAAATCCTTCAATAATGACTTATAATTATAAGTTCTTCAAATATTGGAGATATTCTTTATTTAAACAATACATAAATACCTGGATGTATKGACTTCATCTTTAAAAAAGATTTTATGTTGGCACCTGTTCTCTTGATAGTCAGTTGTATTTTGCAGAYACCTTTTGGCAGCACATCTCAGAATGCACAGACACAAATAATCCTGACTATCTTCTTCACTCAAACAACTACATCTCTTTGCAGAATTCTAAAAAAGAAAAAAAAAAGCAATAATAATGTTTTCACTTTCCATCATAAAACACCATGTTTGTCATTTCAAGTTTGGCTTTCATGTTAGACCTAATGAATTAAAATTTTGTGTTCCTATGGCAAGAATAAACGAAATTCACTTTTGATTTATATCATAATCATTTTCTGAAGTCATATACTGTTCAGACTCAAATCTCAAATTATAATAAGCATATATTTTACAAAAATTAAATATATGATCATTCATTACACAAATATTTCAAACCTTTTTTCATTTATTTTTATCTAATTTTCACTGATATTCCTTGAATGTTAAATGGCATTGTGAAAATATCATTAAATAGAGAAACAGGTCCATGGAAAATCCATTTCTGGTATCAAAACTTTTTATTTTCCCTCTATGAGGGAATATTTGGATTCTCCTTTGAACCATTAGTAAAATGTTACTGGATTTATTATTATAAATGAGCTAAGTAATATCTTTAACATATATTTAGTTTATATTTCCATGAAGTCATGATTTTATGTTTTTTTAAATTATCTTTTTAACAATTTTAGATGTATGCCAYGTATCATCAATGGATTATCATGAAAAAGAGGTGAATTTTGCCACCAGGTAAGACACCTCTTAAGGAGAGGTTAAACCCAGCCTTGTTCTTTCCTAATTGCTTAAAACAACACTAATATAGCAAAAGAACTTCAATTTCCCACCCTTCTTTTTATCAGTTTACTCTGGATATTTCCATATTTTCTTGAGATTGGGTTTATGGCAAATAAGTTATTTTCTATGAATATAAACAAGTTTAGGAATTTGGTTTCATGATCTGAACCTTTGGTGGCAAAATTTGATGGCTTATAGAAATCTAGTCTTTGTTGGGTAAGAGTGAACTGAGAATTTTTTTTTTTCATTTTTATTTTGTGCTCAATTCAAGGAAGAATGTCAAGTCCACCATAAAAGAAAGAGCTCTTAAACATTGACAGGTAAGTAGGGATTTTTTCAAATGTTATATACATATGCATTGTGGCTAAAATCTTATAATTAAAACTGTAGACCTCATCTGTCTCTGTATTTGTTTACAATGCAGGAATGATTTTATTTCCAACAGTTTGGACATGCTATGATTTCCTAGATTCAGAAAGTATTAGTTGTATAAGCTCTTAAATTAAAGGATTACTGTTATAATTGGCTTACAAAATTAAATAAACACATATAAGAATCAACAAATATTAGCATTTTATTACTTTATTTTCCCCTTCTCGTTTTACACACATACRCTCACAAATACACCCAATACTAGTTTGGCTTTGAGAAAACTGAGCTACAACACATTGTTCCCCCAAATGTAGTATTTCTAATGAAAACAAGTATATTATCTTTCATTACCTTGGAAAAATGATCAAAAAAGAAAACCTAGCTGYAATACTACATTTCTAGTATATAACTTGATTTGAAATTTTCTTATTATTGTAAACCAGTGTATAAATCCTTCACCTGCAGCATAATCAGAAAACAAAACAACAA